ACAAAATCCGAAAGCCCATTCCACCACGAGTCTATCCATACTAATTTTACCAAAATCCGACCTCAACTCGACCTCCAAATCTTCAAATCTTATTTTCAAATCCCTAAGTTCAAACCCCCGATTTTTATACTCAAAAACATATAATCTAGTCGGATTATTCGATGATAATTCAATATTATGGAGTAGAAATGATCACAAGGGACTTACCTCAAATTTTCCCGTGAAAAGCTTGCTCAAAATCGCCCAACCCGAGCTTGAAATGTCCAAAAATGGCAAAAGCTCGGAACCCCTCTGTTTTTGTACTGCCCAGGGGTTTTATCACCTGCGGCAAATTGGCCGCTTCTTCGTCAACCGCATGTGTGGAAAACCCCCCGCATCTGCGCCTTTGCCCGCATGTGCGCGCCTATGTGCGCTTCTGCGAGCGTCCTTCCGCATCTGCACTCACGTAGGTGCGAAATTTCCCTCGCACCTGCGACCACTGTCCCACAGTCCATTTTCGCATCTGCGCTTGCCAGGCTCGCTTCTGCAAGCTCGCACCTGCGATGGAATTTCCGCAGGTTCGATTGCATCAGAGGGAAAAAACTTCAGCTTTTTTTTCTAAGTCCGAATTGATCCGTTAACCATCCAAAACTCACTCGAGCCCCTCAGAACCTCAACCAAATATACCGACAAGTCCTAAAACATCATACGAACTTAGTCGAACTCTCAAATAGCCTCAAACAATGCTAAAACCATGAATTATACCCCAATTCAAGCCTAATGAACTTTGAAATTTCTAATTTCTACCAATAATTCCGGAACCTATCAAATCACGTCCGATTGACCTCAAATTTTGCACACAAGTCATAAATGACATGATAGAGGTATTCAAATTTTCAGAATCGGATTCCGACCCCGATATCAAAAATTCAACCCCCCGGTCAAACTTCCCAAAAATTAAACTTTCGGCATTTCAAGCCTAATTCCACTACGGACCTCCAAATAATTTTTCGGATACACTCTTAAGTCCAAAATTACCATACGGAGCCGTTGGAATCATCAAAATTCAAATTTGAGGTCTGTTACACATAGGTCCACATCCGGTCAACTTTTCTAACTTAAATTTCAATTATGAGATTAAGTGTCTCATTTCGTTCCGAATTTCTTCCGGAACCAAAGCAACTAACCCGGTAAGTCATAAAACAACTATAAAGCATAAATTGAGCAGTGAATGGGGGAACAGGGTTATAATACTCAAAACAACCGGCCAGATCGTTACATTCTCCCCCTCTTAAGCAAACGTTCATCCTCGAACGAGTTTAGAATCATACCTAGAGTATCAAATAGGTGTGGATATTTGCTCCGCATCTCCTGGTCAATCTCCCAAGTAGCTTCTCCTGCTGGCTGGCCTCTCCACTGTACCTTCACCGATTCTATGTTCTTTGACCTCAGTTTTCGAACCTGCCGATCTAAAATAGCCACCGGCTCTACATTATAAATTAAATTACCGTCCAACTGTACTGTACTGAAATCTAGAATATGAGACGGATCCCCGACATACTTTCGGAGCATGGATACATGGAACACTGGATGAACACCTGATAGACTAGGTGGCAAGGCAAGTTCATAAGCCACCTCTCCAATTTTCTTAAGTATCTCAAAAGGCCCAATATACCGAGGACTCAACTCACCTTTCTTCCCGAACCTCATCACACCCTTCATGGGTGAGATCTTGAGCAGAACCTTCTCCCCAAAAATGTAAACAACATCACGAACCTTCCTGTCGGCATAACTCTTTTGTCTAGACTGTGCTGTGCGAAGCCATTCCTGAATCACTTTGACCTTCTCTAAAGCATCCTGAACCAAGTTCGTACCCAATAGCCTAGCCTCACCCGGCTCAAACCAACCCACCGGAGACCGGCACCGTCTCCCATATAAAGCCTCATACAGAGCCATCTGAATACTCGACTGATAGCTTTTATTGTAAGCAAACTCCACGAGTGGCAGAAATTGATCCCAAGAACTCCCAAAAATCTATGACACAAGCATGTAGCATGTCCTCCAATATCTGAATAGTGCGCTCGAACTGTCCATCCGTCTGAAGGTGAAATGCTGTACTCAACTGAACCTGAGTGCCCAATTCTCGTTGCATTGCCCTCCAAAACTGTGAGGTAAATTGTGTACCCTGATCAAAAATAATGGACACCAGCACACCGTGTAGGCAAATAATATCGCGAATATAAATCCCAACCAACCGCTCCAAAGAATAATTAGTACAATAAAATGTGCGGGCTTGGTCAGCCGGTCTACTATCACCCAAACAACATCAAACTTTCTCAAAGTCCGTGGGAGCCCAACTACGAATTCCATGGTAATACGCTCCCACTTCCACTCCGGAATTTCAAGTCTCTGAAGCAATCCTCCTAGCCTCTGATGTTCATACTTTACCTGTTGACAATTTAAACACCGAGCTACAAACCCAACTATATCTTCTTTCATCCGCCTCCACCAATAGTGCTGCCTCAAATCCTGATACATCTTCGCAGCGCCTTGATGAATAGAGTACCGCGAACTGTGAGCTTCCTGGAGAATCAGCTCACACAAACCATCTACATTAGGCACACATAGCCTGCCCTACATCCGTAATACACCATCATCTCCAATAGTGACTTCCTTGGTATCACCGTGCTGAACAGTGTCCTTAAGGACAAGTAGATATGGATCATCATACTGGCGCTCTCTGATGCGATCATATAAAGAATACCGAGAAACCACACAAGTCAAAACTCAATTCGGCTTGGAAACATCCAATCTAACAAATTGGTTGGCCAAAGCCTGAACATCCAATGCTAAAAGCCTCTTTGTTACTGATAAATATGCTAAGTTGCCCAAACTTTCCGCCTTATGACTCAAGGCATCGGCCACTACATTGGCCTTCCCAGGATGATAGAGAATGGTGATATCATAATCCTTAAGCAACTCAAACCATCTCTGCTGCCGCAAATTAAGATCCTTTTGTTTAAACAGATGTTGTAGACTCTAATAATCCGTATATACCTCACACTGGACACCGTACAAGTAATGCCGCCAGATTTTTAAGGCATGAACAATAGCTGCTAACTCAAGATCGTGGACTGGATAATTCTTCTCATGTACCTTTAACTGTCTGGACGCATAGGCAATCACCCTACCGTCTTGCATAAGTAATGTGCCGAGACCAATACGCGATGTGTCACAATACACAGTATACGAATCTGAACCTGTAGGCTACACCAATACTGGAGCTGTAGTCAAAGTTGTCTTGAACTTCTAAAAGCTCTCTTCACATTCATCCGACCACCGGAACGGAGCACCTTTCTGGGTCAATTTAGTCATAGGCGATGCAATAGACGAGAATCCCTCCACAAAGCGACGATAATAACCGGCCAAGCCGAAAACACACCGAATCTCAGTAACTGAAGATGGCCTGGGCCAACTCTGAACTGCCTCTATTTTCTTCGAATCCACCTTAATTCCTTCACTAGACACTATATGTCCCAAGAATGCCACCGAACTAAGCCAGAACTCACATTTAGAGAGTTTAGCATAAAGTCTCTCCTCTCTCAGCCTCTGTAATACAATACACAAGTGTTGTGCATGCTCCTCCTGGATACGTGAGTACACCAGAATATCATCAATAAATACCACGATAAATAAATCAAGATATGGATAAAATACACCATTCATCAAATGCATAAATGCTGTTGGGGCATTGGTTAGCCCAAAAAACATCACAAGAAATTCATAGTGGCCATAGTGAGTTCTGAATACCATCTTTAGAATATCCGAATCCCGAATTTTCAACTAGTAATACCCAGACCTCAAATCAATTTTGGAAAACACCTTCGCTCCCTGAAGCTGGTCAAATAATTCATCAATACACGGAAATAGATATTTATTTTTAATTGTAACTTTGTTCAACTGCCTATAATCAATGCACATCCGCATAGTACCATCTTTCTTTTTCACAAACAGAACCGGTGCACCCCAAGGTGACACACTAGGCCTAATAAACCCCTTCTCAAGGAGTTCCTGAAGTTGCTCTTTCAATCCTTTTAACTCAACTGGTGCCATACGATACTGAGGAATAGAAATGGGCTGAGTGCCCTGGACCATGTCAATACCTAAATCAATATCCCTATCGGGTGGCATAGCCGACAGGTCTGCAGGAAATACATCCGGAAAGTCTCGCACGACCGATACTGAATCAATAATAGGAGTATCTGCATCAACATCTCTCACAAAGGCTAAATATGACAAGTATACCTTTCCAACCATACGTTGGGACTTCAAATAAGAAATTACCCTACTAGGAACAAGATCTAGAGAACCCCTCCATTCAACCTTTGGCAACCCCGGCATCATCAACGTCACGATTTTTACGTGACAATCCAGAATAGCATGACATAGAGACAACCAATCCATACCCAGGATTACATCGAAATCAACCATACCGAGTAATAAGAGATCAACTTTAGTCTCCAGTTCCCCAATAGTTACCACACACGACCGATACACATGATCCACAGTTATAATATCGCCCACCGGTGTAGATACACAAACAGGTGAAACTAAGGACTCATATGGCATATCCAGATAATGAGCAAAGTACGATGATACATATGAATAAGTGGAACCAGGGTCAAATAATATAGAAGCCTCCATGTGGCACACTAAAATCATACCTGTGATCACTGCATCTGAGGCAACAACATCTGGCCTGGCAGGAAAAGCATAGAATTAAGCCTGCCCGTTTCCTGATCAGCCTCTCCCTCTTGGACGAACCCTAGTTGCATGACCCCCACCCTCAGATGGCTGGGCGGGTGGTGTAACTTCTAGTGGTTGTGCCGTCGGTCGAGAACTCTGCTGTGGTGCCCTACTCAACAGCCTAGGACACTCTCTCTTGAAATGACAAAATTCTCCGCACTCAAAACAACCCCTCCTCTAATGGAACTGCTGCTCATAATAACCCAAGGAATTACCTGTAGAAGCTTGAGCAGACGAGGCATGCTGAGAACTCTGTGCTGGTAGTGCACTGAATGAATACTGTCCCGAGTGAGCACTGTAAGAACCGTGGCTAACTAATGTACCACGATGACCCGTCTGAGCATGTCTGGAAGAACGACCCATACCGCGGTAAAACTGTCCCCCTGAAGGAACACTACTATAATCCCCTGGACCACGAGGCCTCTTAGCCTCTCTCTCTCTCTCTCTCTCTCCACGTTCTTGGCTATGAACCATCTCTATCTGCCGAGTAATGTCCACTGCCTCATCAAAAGTAGCACCAAATACTCTCTCTCTAGTCATATGTAACAGCAGCTGATATGTGAGGCCATCAATGAACCTCCTAATCCTCTCCCTATCAGTGGGAACCATCCAGACTGCATGATGAGCCAACAGAAAATCTCATCTCGTACTGCGTCATGGATATATCACCCTGGCGAAGCTGCTCAAAGTGCCTGCGCAGCTCCTCTCTGCGGGACAGAGGCACAAACTTCTCCAAAAAGACCACGGAGAACTGCTGCCAAGTAAGGGGTGCTGCGCCAACAGGCCTATGCCACTCGTATGTCTCCCACCATCTAAGTGCAACCCCAGAAAGTTGAAAAGTAGTGAATACCCGCTGTCTGAAGAATCCGTTGATACCTATCCAGAAAATCCTAAGCATCCTCTGACTCAGTACCGCTAAATGGTGGAGGTCGAAGCCTCTCAAATCTCTCAAGTCTCCTCTGCTCATCATCTGTCATAACAGGTACTACCGGGGCCTGAGCAGTTGCAGCCGGCTGAGCTGGTAGTGCCCCTAGTACCTGAAGTCCCTGTATTCCCTGGTCTAGAGTAAGGGCAACCGGGGTATGAGTACCTCCCCCGGCCTGAGAAGTGGCAGGTGCGGCCTGAGCCGAAACCACCTGAGCAAGACCAGTGCAAGCTGCCAATATCTGGGCCAAAGTCTCCTGAAGGCCTGAAATCTCAATGGGCACAGATGGTGCTTGAGCTAGAGCAACTGGTGATACTACAGGTGCTGGTCCAACTGTGGTACGAGCTACACGTCGACCTTTACTTCGACCCCGGCCTCTACCACGGCCCCGGCCTCTCAGGCCTTAACTGGTGGCACTGGTGGCTGACCGTCTGATACAGTAGTACGTGTCCTCACCATCTGTGAGAGAATATAATTTTAGTTTCCGAAATCAACAAATTCGCACGACAGAATACAAGAAAGTGAAATTTTCCTTAGGGTTCTACAGCCTCTCGAAGATAAGTATAGACGTCTCTGTACCGATCCGCAAGACTCTACTACACCTGCTCATGACTCGTGAGACCTATGTTACCTAGGCTCTTATACCAACTTGTCAAGACCCAAAATCCCAACCCGTCGTGATGCTGCCTATCTCAATACTAGGCAAACCGATAATATCAATAAACTACAATTTCTTTTAAGTTTGAAAATATAATAATTAAATACAATACGAAATCCCACAAATACTGAGACGAACACTCCCCAAAACCTAGTGTCACTGAGTATATGAGCATCTAATATGAATACAAATCTGGAAAAGTATGGTCTACAATAGTCTAAGACCAAATACAGTAATAAGGAGATAGTGAAGGAGAGACAAGGTCTGCAAAATACGGCAGCTACCTCTGAATCTCCGAAAAATTAGCTGTACGGATGAATCAACACCCGCTATGTCCAGGAACACCTGAATCAGCACATGAAGTGCAGGGTGTAATATGAGTCCAACCAACTCAGCAAGTAATAATAATAAATAAGAAATTGAAGATAGTGACGAGCTATACAATTATAGTTCATGTTTAGTAATTCCAGCAAAGAATAGACATGCTTTCAAATCCGGTAGTTTAAGTCAAATCAATTTTTATATAATTCAAGTTCATGTAATCCGGATATAGAATCTTTCTGAAACTTCACCACAATAACAGATAACAACTAAGTTCATTAACCAATGAAAAACAAGTACAGCCTCTCAGGACAAAAGTCACTCACTGGGCTCCCAGCCCTCAACACTCACACTCACTGGGTACCCGCGCTCACTGGGGGTGTACAGACTCCGGAGGGGCTCCTACAGCACAACCGCTATAATCTGCACGGACAACTCATGTGCCATAATATAAATATTTGGATCCGCACGGCCAACTCATGTGCTGCACGGCCAACTAATGTGCTATAGTATAATATATGGATCTGCACGACCAACTCACGTGCTATAGTATAATATATGAATCCGCACGACCAACTCACATGCTATAGTATAATATATGGATCTGCACGACCAACTCACGTGCTATAGTATAATATATGAATCCGCACGACCAACTCACATGCTATAGTATAATATATGGATCTGCACGGCCAACTCACGTGCTATAGTATAATATAAGGATCCGCACGGCCAACTCACATGCTATAATAATATATCTCACAATCAGGCCCTCGGCCTTGCTCAGTCATCAATCTCTCAAGTCTCTCAGGCTATAAGAAATCATGAAAAATCAGCCCAAACAACAATGATATGACGCATCAATAATGAACAATAGAGACTGAGATAAAATAATCAAGTAAAGTATGACTGAGTACAAACAACAATTAAGAAAATAGTTCAACATATACACGACCTCCGTGGGTCCCAACAGTACCAACATATAGCCTAAACATGATTTCTAGTCAAATTTCCACAACACATAGAGAGCACATAGCTCACAACAAGTTATTCAACTGTACAGTCTCACGGGACGGATCAAGTCACAATCCCCTCGGTGCACGCCCACACGCCCGTCACCTAGCATGTGCGTTACCTCCAAAGTAATCACATGATACTAAATTTCGGGGTTTCATACCCTCAGGACCAAATTTAAAATTGTTACTTACCTCAGAGCGTGAAATTCTTCACTATGCTATGCCTTTGCCTCGCAAATCGGCCTCTGGATGCCTCAAATCTAGTCATAAATAATTCGTTTTAGTCAATAAAATTTATTGGAATTAATTCCATAAGAAAATTCTAATTTTCCATAAAAAACCAAAATTACACTCAAACAATCGCTTGTGGGGCCCACGTCTCGGAACCGAATAAAAGTTACAATATCCTAAATCCCATTCCACCACGAGTCTACCCATACTAATTTTACCAAAATCCGACCTCAACTCGACCTCCAAAACTTCAAATCTTATTTTCAAATCCCTAAGTTCAAACCCCCGATTTACACCTCAAAAACATGTAATCTAGTCGGAGTATTCGATGATAATTCAATATTATGGAGTAGAAATGATCACAAGGGACTTACCTCAAATTTTCCCGTGAAAAGCTTGCTCGAAATCGCCCAACCCGAGCTTGAAATGCCCAAAAATGGAAAAAGCTCGGAACCCCTCTGTTTTTGTACTGCCCATGGCAACTTGGCCGCTTCTGCGCCAACCGCATGTGCGGAAAAACCCCCGCATCTGTGCCTTTGCCCGCATGTGCACGCATGTGTGCGCTTCTGTGCAAGCCGCTTCTGCGTGCGTACTTTCGCATCTGCGCTCACGCAGGTACGGAATTTCTCTCGCACCTGCGACCACTGTCCTACAGTCCATTTTCGCATCTGCGCTTTCCAGGCTCACACCTGCGATGGAATTTCCGCAGATGCGTTTGCATCAGAGGGCAGAAACTTTAGCTTTTTCTTTTAATTTCGAATTGATCCGTTAACCATTCAAAACTCACCCGAGCCCCTCAGAACCTCAACCAAATATACCAACAAGTCCTAAAATATCATACAAACTTAGTCGAACCCTCAAATCACCTCAAACAACTCTAAAACCATGAATTACACCCCAATTCAAGCCTAATGAATTTTGAAATTTCTAATTTCTATCAACGACTCCAAAACCTATCAAATCATGTCCGATTGACCTCAAATTTTGCACACAAGTCTTAAATGACATAACAGAGGTATTCAAATTTTCAGAATTAGATTCCGACCCCGATATCAAAAAGTCAACCCCTCGATCAAACTTTCCAAAAATTAAACTTTTGGCATTTCAAGCCTAATTCCACTACGGACCTCCAAATAATTTTCCGGACTCGCTCCTAAGTCCAAAATCACCATACGGACCTGTTGGAATCATCAAAATTCAAATCCGAGGTCTGTTACACATAGGTCCACATCCGGTCAACTTTTCTAACTTAAATTTCAATTATGAGATTAAGTGTCTCATTTCGTTCCGAATTCCTTCTGGACCTGAACCAACTAACCCGGTAAGTCATAAAACAACTATAAAGCATAAATTGAGCAGTAAATAGGGGAATGGAGTTATAATACTCAAAACGACCGGCCGGATCGTTATAGTTAAATTGTGAAATATTATGTTGTTAAGTTGCTCGCTCCCGGATATGTTTGTTAAGATTTTTGTGCACATTATGGTCGATCCATGAGCTCCTTAATGTGGAAAACGATGTATTGTTGATTTATGTGGCAAGTTGAAATATTTGAGTACTTGAGGTGCAATTTGTGATTTGTTTTGATATTTGAGCTCTCGATGTGCAATTTATGACATGTTGTAATATTTGAGCACTTGAGGTGCAATTTATGAGATGTTGTGATATTGGCACATGATATTGTTGGGAGGATTGTCTGGATATTTGCACGAGGTTTCTACCGTGCTATTGTTACTATTGATATATGCACATGCGGCATGACAAGGCGGGCTATATATGTGGGTTTGCGCATGTGGCGAGACAAGGTGGGAATATTATTATGCGCGTGCGGCGAGACAAGGCGGGCATTTACTTTATTATTGCGCACATGGCGAGACAAAGTGGGCTATGTCGGGGATTGATTTGTGATAACTTGTGATGACGTGAGGGCATTATGGTTGTTGATATTTGTTTTGGGACTACGAGGCGGTACGTCGGGAGTGCCCTTTGTTGAAATTTATTTGTGATTTGGGACTACGAGGCAGTACCTAGGGAGTGCCCTTTATCGACATTTTTCTATGGTTGCACTTGCCTTTGGTTATTTTGTTTTCTGCGATATGTAAAGTTTTGTGTTCTTGCTTGATGTATTATTTGATTTTATTATGTATTTTGTATTCCTTGTTGTATTGTGTTGGCTTTGGCTCTTTGTACAAGACTTTGAGGATTTGTGTT